CCTCACCTTGAAATATTTTGAAATTTAATGAGGGTTAGCTAAATTTTGTTGTTTCTTTATAAATATATTTATTTCGACTCTGAATTTTTCTTTTCCTTAGAGAATATTCCCTTTAAAATGAGTGAACATTATTTTCTACAGTATATTATTCGTAATTTTCCAACCAATTCAATACCAATAATGGCTGGAGACGGCTTAAATGGGTAATGAAGAAAAACTTTAATGTAACAGCAAATGTACAACGTTTCGACAAGCCATTATTAGTCTCAAAGTGGGTTCCTCGTCATCGAATTTCAATTCAATACCAGTTTTGACTAGTTATTTTCCATTTTTTCCCTATATTATTCGTATATTTTCCAACCAATTCAATGCCAGTTTTTACTAGTTATTTTCCATTCCTTCCCTATATTATTCGTATATTTTCCAACCAATTCAATGCCAGTTTTTACTAGTTATTTTCCATTCCTTCCCTATATTATTCGTATATTTTCCAACTAATTCAATGCCAGTTTTGACTAGTTATTTTCCATTCCTTCCCTATATTATTCGTATATTTTCCAACCAATTCAATACCAGTTTTGACTAGTTATTTTTCCATTCCTTCCCTATATTATTCGTATATTTTCCAACCAATTCAATGCCAGTTTTGACTAGTTATTTTCCATTCCTTCTCTATATTATTCGTATATTTTCCAACTAATTCAATACCAGTTTTGACTAGTTATTTTCCATTCATTCCCGATACATTTACCAACAAGAAACTTTTCCTCTAAACAATTACTTTCGTTAATCTTAAATTTTCAACCCAGAAACTTTTTTTTCACAAGAAGTGTCAGTTCCTTTGATATTATAATTTCGACCCAAAAACCTTAAAAAAAAAACAGGAAATTTTCTTTAAGATTCATACGAAGTTTAGAATTAAGATTTTTATTTTTCCTCTACACATCAAAACTATTATGAGGTTTACTACAAATCAGAATTACACTGGAAAAATGAATAGTTTTAAATGTCTTTTTATTTACAATTCTTCTAAGAACCCGTAATATTTACCCCCCCCCAATTTAAACATAGTACCTTGGTATTGTGATTAAAACCTTTGTCGATGTGATTAACTGCAGAGTCCCTCTATCGGTAATTTTCGACACTTTCTGATTTAACGAGATCAATTAGCTACCAATTAACCTAATTGTTTTCAGATAGTGTTGTAGCAAATAAAGTAATTAACTGAACAACAAACCCAATTAATATATATCCACGTTGACATGAAAAACACTCAATTTTCAGGTGACCCAAGTTGACTACAATATCTGATCTCTCGTGCGAAGAACGAGAATGTATTTAACCTGATTCAACTGTAGAGGGCGTGGTACATCAACAACAACATCATATCAGACCTAATTCACCAATAGAAGGCGTGGATGAATCTCACCTGATTCAGCAGTAGAGAGCTTTATAGATCTCTGGATTTCAGAACTAGTAAACACCGTGCTATACCACAAAATATTTCCTGCACTTAAAGGTGTTAGCGCATTATACGAGTGACAGACAATCTCTTAGCTGGCATGGTTAGGGTGTTCGACTCGCAATCTGCAGATTCGAATCCCCGTCCCACCGAACATGCTCGCCCTTTCAGCCGTGGGGGCGTTATAATCTTACGATCAATCCCACTATTCGTTGGTAAAAGAGTTGTTGGTGGGTGGTGTTGACCAACTGTCGTCCCTCCAGTCTTTCACTGCTAAATTAGGGACGGCTAACGCATATAGCACTCCTGAAGCTTTGCGCGAAATTCAAACCAATCGGGGGGCATAAGGATTGAATGTAGGGCTTGAAGTAATAAATTAAATAAAAAATTCGTATAATGACAGTAATGACAATCGCGCTAGGTGTCAGTAAACTAGTCGATTTTGCAAACGGAAGACCCGAGTTAGGCCTACAAACCATTGTTAAAAGTCCCACAGATTGAGAATATAGATATCGTAAATTATTTAGTCCTGAAAACATCTTTTTACGCCGGTAAGCAGTTCAAGGCCTATAAAAGCCTTGATGCTTACAAGTATTTTTGTGGCCGGCTGTGTGTACGATGTCAGACTATGGGAAGTATTAGAGACATCCAACTACATAGCTCACTCGAGGGTATGTCGAAGTTGTTTTTAGTGACTAGGCCTATTGTTTATGTTCTGTCGGTGGTAACTTTACAATCTAGATATACTACACCGCATTGTATTGCATTTTACGTCGTCCTGTCTTGTGAGATCACTTTCTTCAGTATACATTAGCATATATGCTACACAAATAATCCCTGTATTTTAAGACCACCTGTCTTGACTGTGACAAGCCTAATTTTTGACAAAACTATTATCGCTCACTGGCATTGCTTCAGTGCTTGTAAATTGTATGGGTCTGTATTATAGTATTTATATTATAATTAGATTTAGATTATAATTTTATCTGTGCAATATAATTGTGACAGGGTAGATTGTTTGAAGCAGTACTGAGCAGATATGAAATGGGAACTGCATAGTCTATGGCACGATGACGGTTTCCAACTTCCAAGCCTTGTCAATGTTGTTTGGGTCTGCATATTTTACTGCTGCAGTTCATTTAAGACTACGTACTGGATCTTTTGGAAATCTATAAAACGACAGCTGATTGTCATTTCAAATACTTGATCCCAATTTCCAATACCACGTCGCCAGCAAGTACATTGTGATTACTAGATTGTCCCTATGCTTAGTCCAAAATGGCGGTGTTTACTTTTCGGCTTGTCGGTAATATATGCATGACGCATAGGTGTCTATACTTCAGAACACGGTACTGCAGCCAACGGTGGCAATGCTAGGCTTACGCAGACTACGGATTTTATTATTATTATTTTCATCAAAACTTTTAATGTTGCAATCATTTGAAAAATATGTTTTCAATTAAATCGATCGAAGGTACCTATGAGTATCGGACGGACGTTTAAAAATTACAGAAGCACGTCCCCAGTAAGCACTCGTGCGGTGCGCTGATTGGTTGCTGTGTTCAGTACACACACTGTGTGTATGATTTGAGAAAGATAGTGTCGCTGTGGTAATAAAATCAATTTTTTATCAAGGTATTATTATGTATAGTATTTATATATTTTCGTTGTCTGTAAATAATGTAATTAGTATTCTTTTCCAATGGGACGTGGCCCAAAATATTCCTACTTAGGGCTCCTAGTGGGTTAGCACTGCTCATGGTAGTCCAGCATTTAAACGATGTTAACCCCCTCCCAAAAAAAAACGGTTTTTGCAACAAATTCTAGGGGACAAATCCAATAGTGTTTCTTAAGTCACGCGAAGTATTTCACAATGTGTCAAAATATTAAAAACGAAAAAGAATTGCACAAAGGATATTTTCTTAATTACTTCGCTTCTTAAGTGCTCCATATTCAACATATTTTTTTATTCATACTGAAACTGATATATATAAGGAAAAACTATCTCTACGACTCACATAAAATGACGTCAACTGAATTAACGTCACAAATTATTTTCCTGTTTGTTGTGCTTTAGATATATTTATGCATGTTAAACACAGGACATAATATGCAGGTTTCTGTGATAGTGTTATTGAAACTAATAGTAACCCTCTTATTTTGTACGCTTATGAACGCTGGACAACCAACTGATTAAACTAACTGTTTCGTAATCTCGCCTGCAGAGCCGTGTTGTGAAACCGATATAATATTATCATTTCACGTGCTAGCTTTTATAAATAAGAAAAATATTATAGTCCAGAAGTTTGGCATTTTTAAAATTATTTTTATTAATTTGATTAACTTTTTATAATGTGGCATAGAAGATTTCTAAGAGATTATTATTTTTATGGCGAGTCTTAGTGCAGAAACAATTTAA